TACGTTTTTTTCGCGAAAGTATACGCTATTCGATTTGAGCTCGTCGAGTAGTGTTGCTTTTGTCTTTTTCTCCATATATTAGTTAATACACCGTTTTTCGTCTAATATTAATAATGTTGCGAGAGAAACGAGTTAAGAAGTTATCGCATCACGCCCGTTATAATAAAAAAACGTAATCGGTAAGTTGCATATTTACAACAATCAACCAATCAAGATTGATAAGGGTGGAGCCCCATTGCTTCGCGCATCGCAATAATGCGTCGTTCTATTTCGGGTATGAAACATCTATACCGGGTATATCGGGTGTGCTACAAACATCGTGCATATGATTTTGCGATCAACGGATATTTTACAGCTAAAAATACGTAAGCCGTTTTATAAGTTAATTATATTGTATTTTAACGATGAAAGAAAGTAATTCGATTTCAAATCATTTATTTATTATTGATTAAACATAACGAGCATGTCAAGCATGAGTACTTTGACGATGGGATCCTAGCATCTTACATACGTTTACCGTGACGGAAAATTCGTCACGAACATTATGAAATATTCATATTAATTTTTTCTAAGAACGAAATTTAATTATAGCTGAAAAATCGTGTAAACGGGATTTTCGTCACGCACGACTGTGACGGGAATTAATGCCGATGTCGACTGCGGAGGAAGATTTTATCACATGACTTACGTATCTGAATGAAACAAATTGATCTTTGAGTGCAAAAGACATATCTTGGTCATTGATCGTAAATTCACATTTGTCTGATGCTATCAAAGCCAGATCTTCAATCAATCTTCAAAAGTTTTATTGAAAAGCAATGCATCTCTAATATAATCTCTTAAGAAGTTTATCGAAACTTTTACTTTGAGAGTGATAATACTATTTCTTCCGAGATCAGGAAATAAAAATAACGTTTTGTATCAGTGATTCTAAATACCTGCTTCTACAGTATGAACCTTAACTTGTTACTTACCTTCTGTTTTGGGGGAGTTCTTTGCTCTTTCTTTCTAACAGGCACTAACTTTCTTCCGGGAGCAAGTTTTTCCTTCTCAGCTCTTTTTTTAATAAGTATAAATCGAGTAATAGTAGTGTATAGTAATTTCTGCAAAAAAAAAAAACAACGCATGTAAACGTAAGTCATACTTTAAGAGACTCTGAAGATGCTACTAACCTTGACTTGAAGCATTATACGGGATATCTGAATAACTGACTTTAGCTCCTCGTATTTTGTTGGTATGTCGAAATCGGCTAAATTAATCGATGCGTAATAGCCTCTTCCTACATATATACAGTAACTAGGATAGCACGCATAGTAAAGTAAGAAGACAAAAAACCGGGTATAAGAAGTTTTGTGATAGCCTGCAGAACCGGCTTTGAAAGCATTCCATTGCCTTCTGCATATATTGCATCAGCTAGGGACCGGTGCATGTCTCTTATAATCTTTTGTCCTTTTAAATTATTCGAAATAACCTTGCGTTTTTTTTTCAACTTTAGAACCGGCACGTTCGCAAACTGAAAATTCACGACCCCAACATAAGTCCTATCCTAAATCGTGTCGCTATAGATTTAGGTTAGTAAATGCTTTAATAACAATGAACCCTTAGAGAATTTCTCATACCGTGAACATCCAGTCGACGTGATATCCTTCCGCATTGCTCGGCATTTGCTCGACGATCTCGTGAAGCTCTTGATACCACCTCACCACTTATTTAAGAAAATTATTTAAGCATAATTATAAATAATATAAATATTTGAGAACAATAACGGAACTTACAAATGACTATCCAAAATATCATCGAAACATGAAAAAATATGACGTTTAATAAAGACATCAATGTCCCGTTCTGAGTTTGCTCTATTGGAGATTCCTTTCGCGATCATCTCGCACCTGATGGAAGTTGAAGTAAAAGTATATGAAGTTGTATGTATAGTTAAACGCTGAACTATCAAATGAACCTACGTATATCTAATCAAGTCAAAAATGTACGCGACATCTGGATCCAGAAGATCATTAGGATCAAGTAGTGAGGTCTCTTCGTGAGAAATTTCAGTATCTTCGCCGATATATCCATCATAAAATAGATCGCCAGCTTCTAAAATAATTGGATTCCTAATACTTGTCATTTCTTGGAGTCTAAGAATTGCACCGTGTATTCCCTTCGATCTTACGGTTTCTCCAATTGTACGAAGTTGATAGCTGTCGAGCTGGAAACCAAAAGATATGTTAACCCAAAAGAATTGAGATGCTTAAATCGACATTATTCATCTTTGAAAGAGACTTCAGACATTTTTCCGCTGAAGGTTCCAACACGGTCCAATCCTTTAAAGCAGATGAAAACGTCGCGTTCGGATCTGATAGATCTGATTCTGAAAGAAGATCTACAAGTTTAGGATCCGACAAGTCTACAATCTTCCACCAAATTGATCGGAGGAGAGAACTTCGTTAGAACCTACTAACATCAAGAAAAATGGAACCAGTATTTGTCTAACATTTACTTTAAAGATGACTTATACGTAGTTATTGGATCATCTTTTGAGATTAACAGACGACGTCCCTCTATCAATCTTTTTAGCCAACTTGGTTGTGGTGTATCAAACTCCCATTCTTCGTCATCCGTAACCTCTGTAACCTCTGTAACCTGTGCATAAATGTGAAAGATGAGAAGACATTTTGTTGCGGGATATATATTAAAACAACGGAGGATACAACTGCCTTGTCTTCTGGAGTTTGCGATGGTTCGTTTTCTGCTCGGCGACATTGACGTTTGTGCGAAGCATCATCTTCGTTTCCCCTGGCTTGATCCTCAGGATATCGTTTGTTAATGGCGGAGGTAACTTCATCTGAACTGCGAAATCTTGCTTCATTAAGGACTCTTACGCCTTCTATTACATAATTTTTCCGGAATTCCTCTATTTTTGGCAGGTTAAGAAATATAGTCAATAAAAAATTACTTTTTGAATAATCCTTGAAAAATGTAATGTTAGAATGCTAACCTTCTCACGTTCAAGAATAATGTCTTGAAAAAAAGATTTCATTTGTTGACGTTTATCATTTTCATCCTATAGCAAGTCGCAATGAGAGAGCACCGAAAACTTCAGCGAAACTTTTGAATCGGACTATATCATGAATATAACTGCAACCCAGAAGGGCGCCGAAAACTTCGGCAAAACCTCCAGATCGTACTATATCACAAATATAACTACAACCTAAAAGCGCTCTTTACTCATCACTTGGGCGCCGAAAACAGCGGCAAAACCTCTGGATCGGACTATACCATAAATATAACTACAACCCAGAAGCACCCTTACATTGATAAGTTAATAAAGTTCGCGTGCATAAAACCTTTTCTTACCTTATCGGCATGATAGATATACCTCCTATACCATGCACCATCTAAGCCACTCCAGTCATCAGAATATGGTGGCGAAATTATGATTGTTTCTCTTAATTTCATTTAAAAAATGTTTGTAGGTCCATGTTTCTCTATCGTTAGTTTTGAAATATTCTAAAACTGCTGGAGAAGTCAATGTAAGAAGATCAGTTTATTGCCCGAGAACAAATCTATAAAATCAAGAACTTACCGTCATTTCCAGCATAGGGTTCCATTCTTTTTGGTTTTTTTTTCGTTTTTGATTCTCGGTTACAGTTTGTAAGTATCGCGTAAATATATGTAGCAGAGAAAAAAATCATGTGCGTGTGACGCCGATCACTTTGCAAATTATATTTAACACACATAAAATAATATGAGAAAGGGCCGACCGGCTAAGTAAAAATGAAAGTAAAAACAATAGAGTAGCAGGTTGTTTCAAGGGAGGAAAAGCATAAAAGAACATGCCTGTTTGTTTAAGCCTGCCGAGCCCTAACCCATATATTGCAGTTCCTTTCCACTACTCAAAGGTGTAAATGAATGTTATCTATCCAAGCACCTATCTTTTCTAAGTTTTCTTTATTGCATCTTTTCCAATTGATCCCATCCCAAGTTTAAGAATATAAACCGATACGATAGCACACATCTGATCTAAAGAATAATCCCTTGCACCCTATTAAAGATGGTCGATCCTCTCCTGTTAACAATCTGGACAAGGGAGTGTTGTTGATAAGAGAGCATAATATTGTCCCCTAAATCCGACTTAGAGTACCTAATTTAGACTTAGTTTTGTTTAGTCCAAACTAGCTTAATGTACAACGATGAGTTAGTCACTTTGTAAAAGTCTTCAAAATATTTTGATATCTTTTAATATCTCAATAAAGACATGTCAAAGTGGTATGATTGTGAATTAAAATAATAATAATAATAATAATAATAATATTTATTAAAAAATTAATTTAGTAAATTAATAATATAAATAAATTGTCAATTAATTTCTATAATATAATTTGATAATTTCTACATATTTTTTATTTTAATACTATATTTATCAAAATTTCAATTTTGTTAAAATTTATATACTATATTTGTTGAATTTTAATTATATATTATACTTTCAATTTAAAGAAACTATAACTAAATATTCATAAAAATCTTATCAATTTAAAATTTTATATCTAAATAAAATAAATTGATCAAAAATATTTTAAATAGGAATTACAGTATATATTCATATTTAATTAAATAAAATTTAATAGTTCACAATTCAATATTTATATTATTTCCAGATCTAAAATAAAATCTACTGTATTTTCTATCAAATTAACAAATTTGTATTATCAAATAAAGGCCAATCAATATTCAATAACATTATTTAAAACTAGATATAAATCAATACTTATATTATAATTTACAATTGACCTGTGGATCTATAGCACAGTAGTAGTGCTCCCAGGTCACAATCACAAGATCCATAGTTCAATACCACATGAGAGCCATGTGAAAATTTATAGAATGGAAAAACCATCTATGATGTAAAACACAACCAGGTCTCAGAAAACACCGATTCTTTTCATTCTGATTTTATACAAATAGGGTTTTCCCACTTCCGGTTCTAAGTGGATTTTTCTCTCTATAAAAGGTACAATTAACATAGCTGAATACAAACAAATCTGGAAAAGATACCAAACTGGCAATAGTGTCACATCCATCAAGAACAATTTGAAAGGTATACTTCTTCTTTCACAGGAACTAGCAAGTCAAGCCTGACAAGTTAGTTTGGAGAAATCCAGAAGGATTGAAGATCCAAAAATAGGGGTATCTAGGTTTCTTAGATAAATAGTAGTAGAAATTTAATCTGATCGGATATTTCCGGACAACAAGCCGTCTGGTGGATTCTTTAAAAGTAGGGTTCTAGGAATGTTTGTCAACATGAATGATAAAAATATATATTCCCTGTAATTAAATTTGTAAATTACTTTATCAAATTAATAAACAAGGCCGAGCTTTTCATTTCACAAAAAAAAAAATTATAATTTACAATTGAGCTAATATAAATAAGTCCTTAATACAGTATTTTATAAAAATATACAAAATTAAATATTTTATTTTTAATTTAATATTTAATCTTTGAAAGTTTAGAGTTTTATAAAATACTTTGTAATATTGGATTAATAAATTTAATATTTTAGTAGATATCTCTGAATTTAATTTTTTTAGATACAAAAGTTTATCTGAAAAATATTTAGATTTATTTATAATTATTTTATAAATATTATATATATTATTTAAAAATTAATATAACTCATTAATCAAAATTGATCTAGTTTAAAAATTGAATCAATATTTGATTAATTATATAAAAATTCAAGCTTTTGATTATTGAAATATAGTATAACTAAATAAATAATTTAATAATTATTTATTGATTTTCATATTAATTTAAATTCAATATTTCAATAATATAAAATAATGAACCTAGGTTAAAAATTTAATAAAATTCTATTTTCAAATATATATATTTTTTAATATAACCTTCTGTCAGGTTAGTTATGTGTGCTTTATTAAACAATTGTAAGCTATACATTATATATATATCACTAAAGTTAAATCTCTAACTAACTTATTCATTAAAGTCTTATATTTATCTAGAACTCTAAGTGCAACTTCAGGAGTAATTTATTACTCTGTTAGTAGTTCAGGTAGAAACCCTTTCAACTTCTAACATTATTAGTCACAGATCACTGCTGCGGATCACTACACAAGGTTCTGACGAGGATTAAAACCCAACCACTTCATCACATATTTAATCCTATTTCTTATAATTTCTACAAGGTTTTTGTTTTCATTCTCTTTCTCTTCTTCTCTTTGCTTTATACTTTTGTGATCGGGATTATCTTGCAGATCTTGCCTTTTTACTTCCTGAACCTTCTTATATTTTGCTCTTCTATCAATTTTTTGTTCTTGTTCCCATTCAATAATCTTTTTATATTTCACATTCCAGATTTATTTTTGGATCTAGTTGCAAACCTTCTTTTATACTTTTAGAATCTATTTTTTTACTATTGCTTCTAGCTTCTTTCTATGACAATTTAGGTTAGCAGCTTCTTTGATTGCATTGCTTTTTACTAATCCTGTGCAAAAGTTAAGAGTGCTTGAACCAGTTTGCGAGACTGATTCTATTAGTCTAAAGATCTATTTATCTAATTCACATTTTTTTCTTCTATTGTTTACTGCTAGTTGTACCATTTTTTCATTCACTTTACTCTTATATTCTTGCTACAACTTGTCAAATTCTTTAAGGAAAATCTCAGATCCTTTTTGCTATACCACTAGGATCTCAATCTTATAACTAGAACATTCTAATAAATGTTCGATTGTTTCTTGATTCTGATTGCATACTATATATTTTGCTTACTTGTATAGATTTGATCTTCTTATTATTAGCTTGCTTAAGGTAGGTAGTTTATCATTAATCAATTTAACCAGGAAACTTCTTCTTTGTGAGCTTTTGAAAGTAATATCCCATATATTTCTATTCTTTAATCTATCCCATATCAGATCCCATAAGTAGGTTTGATACTTATGAACTTGGTAATACTATTTTGTCTCTGTTCTGTGTTGCTGTGTCCATGATAGAGCCATTGATCTTTTATTGATTTGTTTGATGAATTGTCATATTGGACTATTTACCTCTTCTTCTTGCCATATAGTTTCTATAGGCATCTTGCTTGATTTAAGATTCTTCCATTCTATTGCTAATAGTTTTAATGCCTCTTTAGTCAATCGATCTGCTTCTTCATTCCATAGATTATTAGAATAGACTTTAACCTTAATTAACATTAGTTGTATATGCTTTTTCTTTACAAGATCTAATATTTTTACCCATAATGATTAATTCTTTTCTTTTAGCCATCCTTTGTATATCATCTTCAGATCTTCTTTTACTAGCTTTTTCCATTTAGAGATGCAAACTTGACTATCTGTAAAGATCTCAACTATACTATCTATTGAAGCTACTAAAGCTATTGTAATCAGTGCCACCAGTTTTGCCCTTGTGAACAAGGGCCAGTTTTTGACTTTTGTCTAAAATTTACTTTCTTTTCCAGCTCCTCTGTTTGTATCCATGCTGTACACATTTTTGCATTTTAGTTTTCATGATTGATTAAAGATCTGTCAGAGTAGAAGGTCAGCTTTTCTTATAATCCTTGATTACACTGGAGAATTTTAAGTAAGTGATCTTGATATACTCCTTGCTTAACATTGTCTCTAAGTATTTTTTTTTTTTTTTTTAACCCGCAATTATATCACAATGGCGTGTCTTTATTGAAAAATTGAAATAAAATTTACAATATTTTACAAACTTTCACAAAGTAACTAACTTGTCTTCATACAAAAGTACTCTAAGTCAGATTTTGGGAACAATATTTCACTTCCCTAATAGATTGGTAATAACCTCTA